AAAATCGTCGTCTAGCGAAAATCGGTTTACGAAGCAGGGACCAAACATTGTCCAGCGAAATTCCCCCATAGGAATCACTGTTTTGCGAATCGCTATAGCAATCGCAAAAAGCCAATGTCTAGCAAAAAAACTGTCATGCAGGGTAACTGTCTAGTGAGGCACCACTGTACATGGAGGGAGGTGGAAAGGTCCCTTGCTAAGACTGTCCAGGTGTGTCTTGGACACACAAGGCAGCTCCCCCCAAAATCAGACACCCCCTGGGCAAGGACAGCACCCTTCCACCCCAGACGCACCAACGGGGGAATATATGATGGCTGAATGCGGGGTAACTGTCTAGCGAGGCACCACTGTACGTGGAGGGAGGTGGAACAAGGGTATGGGAGGTGGAAAGGTTCCTTGCTATGACTGTCCAGGTGTGTCTTGGACACACAACGCAGCTCCCCCAAAAACAGACACCCACTGGGCAAGGACAGCATCCTTCCACCCCAGAAGCACCAATGGGGGAATATATGATGGCTGGTCTCTCCATTTTGCATTGCAATCTGCAACAGAAGAGATACGGAGTTCTGTTTGGAGTCTGGCATCATTAGAAAGCACTGCCGAGATGCCTAATTTTAGTCTTTCCAGCCTCTATGGGAGCAGCAATGGAGAATCATCGGAAAGCAAAGAAACGGACAGGTGTATAACGCACACCTGTTCGGCTGGAGAAAACCTGTTCCCTTCTTGTGCTCTTTTCTAGCCTCAGCCGCTCAAAAGAGGAACACACTCAAGTCTGTGAAGCTGTGCTTCCACCTCCTGGACAAAATTAAAAAATATTTCACAAAGATCAGTGTTGGCCAACACTCCCCCTTATAGGGCCTGCATGGATGCTGCAGTTTGGGGAGTATATACAAAATATTTTGCATTTACTCATAAAAATGGCAGAATGAATAATAATCGTTGCATGCTATCAAGTCAGTTCTGACTTTGGGACTCTTTTTCAAGGTTTTCCAAGTAGAGAATATTTAGAAGTGGTTTCTCCTTCCCTTCTTCCGGGGTTGCCCTGAGGCTGTGCAGCTTGCCCAAGGCCACCCAGGCTGGCTGTTCTGAGATACACAGAGGGGGACTGAACTTCCAGCCTCTGGCTCCACAGCCAGAAATCTAAACCGCTGAGCTATCCAGCTTCACACTCTTCAATACTTAATCTCAGCACTCTGAGGATTAACATATTGCTTTGTCTTGCTTTATTTTTTTTAAAATAAAAGGAAGATATCTCAATATCCCCTACTCCCAACGCCTCTGAGCCATTAACCAGGTGTCGCTGAGACTCCCGGACATATTTTATTATACTGTTTATTTTATAAGGATACTAAAAAGCTTACGTATTTCTCCAATTAAAAAGAATCCCAGGCAGATTTGATAAGTTTTATGTCTCTCTCTCTCTCCTCCCCTCTGACCTCAAATGAAATTATAGCTCGGGTGGCGGAATTCTATGCTACGACATGTTTAACAAGAAAGCTACAGTATTGGGAAACCATTCCACCCATCATGTCAGAAATAATGTGCCACTGTAACGAGGACACAAAAATTACTTTTCTCTGTCTAATATCCCTGTGAACTTTTTTCTGTTGTCTTTGGTCTCTCTTTTTTTTGCGCCTGCAAGAGTCGTAATAATATATGAACTGGTTTTATTTATTTATTTATTTAAACAAAAGCTGGCTTTCTCATAGTGGTGAATCCTGTCCTCACAGTGAATTCCGGCCTTATGTAGAACTGCAGATGCAATATTTAGAAATTAAGGGTATCAGATAGGGGAGCATTGGTTACCGCTAGTTAGATGCTTCCATGCTAAACTACAAGGTGTCTACCTACAGGAAATTTGGTACGGTATTGCTCTATGTTTTCCATATTCTTTGAGGGAACCACTCTCACCCACAATGGCCCCATTATTTTCCCAGCAGACTTGGAGGACTAGCAGGTATTGATATGGGGGGAAAAAACCCAGAGGTTCTCCTATCAAGACAACCCATCTCAACTAGTTTAGTGTTTATTCCCAGAATCCTGGGAACTGTTGTCCTGTGGCTACAACTAGACGTTTCTTTAAAAGTGCATCACAGTCTATTCCCAACGACGGTTATCAAGATTTTCTAAGGGAAACCATGTCTGTTAAACTGGTACAAATCTTCATGGAATTGACTGGGTAGAACCCAGCTTGCATTCAGGAAGATGCATATCTTCGTAGGAGGAAAAATAGGGAGAGGACCTCCTCAGGTTTCCTGGATCAGGGATGGGCACTCAAGTTGACAACTAGCTGTCAAGTTGGACTTCAGTCACACAAGTGACTTGACTTGAACACAACACAGATTTTTTTAATGACTGGGACACAGAACCCACCGGCTCCTCTTTTTTTTTCCTAGGGAAAAATGTTTGTTTTTAAAAGGGACTCCGGACTCGATACCAAGACCTTGGACTCAGATTTGAGACTTCAACCCATAGACTTGCCAGCACCCCTATCCTGGACTGTCTTGGACCTGTTCCAGTGAGTGCTGACCCTCCTTCGACCTTTAATCGCTATTCTTAGTATTGCTGATGTCCCTTCCTTCTTTCTCCTACCTTTCCTTTGCCCCTTCAAGGAGAGGAGATCTCCCCTTTGTCCTCTAGACATGAATGGGGCAGCCCCACCAGCTTGGTTAGCTAGAACTAAAACTTCTACCATCGTTCCTCTCAGAAATGTATTTCTGTAATAATAAACACAAGTGTTCTTATTTTCTTAAAAGAAATGTGGTAGTGATTCCTTTGTAAAGGGGAAAAGTATGCTCAGATCATCATTCCAACCTTCAAAGGTTGACACGTTATTTCTGTGTGCTTACTCATCGAGAAAGCAAATGCTGATTTTCAGTACTGTATAAGACGACTGATACCGGAATGATGGACTCTTTGGGGGAACTCAGCCCCCATGATCTAGAGATGCATCCCGCTTTCGACTTTGGTCATGAGTACCTATTCACTTAAGTAAACTCCAGGACTTCTAGGAACAGGGTCCTTTGATTCAGCATGTCCAACTTCAAACCTAACCACTCCCTTGTATGGTTATGTCACAAGGGATTTAAGAAAAATGTTCAAAGGATGCGGGAAAGAATATTTCTTACCTCAATAGACTGAAATCTTTTTGTCTGAGAATTAAAGCCTTTCTTTTCAGAGTTGGAGATGACTTTGGTCTGGAACTTGACCGGAATGGAAGAACATGGCCGACCTAGAAAGAGAAATCAATGAAAACCATGCATATTTACCATGATTAGGTGCTATTTCAGGATGCAATGTCAACACACATAACGATCCAATAAGTTCTGGTTGGATGTCTTGGATTTTATCTATGCTGCCTGTTTTGTTTTGATGTGTTCTTCTGCTTCTTTTTTACTCTTTACAATTTTCCTATTTTTCCTTCTGAAGCAAAGATTGAATACTGTCGTTCTGTGATCTTTAAAAAAATGAAATGTCATATTTGATTTCTTTCACTCTAGTAATTCAGACTTGGCCTCTGAATGCAGCATAGTGAGGGGGACATGAAGGACTGGGCCACTTTAGACTGCAAGATGATCGTATTTTTTTAATGTTGCCCTTTGTATATCCGTTCACTCAGCCAGAAAATTAGTGTTATCAGAGAAGGGTTCTAAACCAGCTTTCTTCTTATTGAGCTGGTTTTACATTTGCACTGAATTCTGCGACAGGCAGGCAGACAGATATGGGGTGAAGCATTCAAATGGGATGATCCACTTGTGTAGACTAGGCGGGCAAAATACATCCCTAATGCTTTTTCTTGTGCGTCCTCTCTCATGCCTTACATTGCTGAGTTGTCTTCAAAGGAGGAAAACTATTTCTTGCAACTGGAGGAAACCGATGTGCAAGGGGAGCTCAAAGTTCCCTCTCAGAAGGTTTGGAAAGAAAGGCAGATGCCAGTCCTACTGGTAAGGTCCTAGAAGACAAGGAGAACCTGGCAGGCATGAGGATGATTAGCCAGGGGGAGTATCGGAGCTCCGATGATTGGTGCAGAAACAAAAGACAGCATCTCAAGGCTCCTAATAATTAACTGGAAATAGCTGAACGTTGGGTAGGGGCATGCTAAGACCCACAAATTCTGCTCACTCAGTCAACTTAAGTGTGGGAAATACTATTGCAGTTGTCTCTTGTCTGTCACCCGTTTTTCTTACAACCCAGGTGAACTGACAAGCACACGTCCGCCTAGTCTTTCTTGGACTGACCTTTTGGCTTAACTCTCAGACTCTGAACAATCGTCCCCTTACTTGGAAAGCGTTGGCACTCGCAACTCTGCCCTGGCACCTATTGCCTGCCCACATTACATCCCAGCCCCACCAGACGCCCCCTGCCAAAACCACAGTTTTTCCCGTTAAAAAAGAGAGAACTGCCATTACTGAAAACCTCAAGGAATAGTGGTTCACCCTTTAAGATAGGCTTGCATGCCAGAATCTTATTGATCATCCCAAGTAGAAAAATCTCATTGAATCTCTGAGACTTACTTGAAGTGTTGACTTACCAATACAACTCACTCAACAGGTCTACTCTGGTTGGCACTAGCTATAGGATTTAGACTGCCGTATATAACACCAAACTTTCTACCCATTTTTCAAAGCTGCAAGTTGCTCTCCAGTTTCTTCTCATTCCATTCCATTTCTTTTTTTTTCAAGGTATACGTGGCTCCCAAGGGATTTTGGAGGGGGGAAAATGGCTCCCAAACTGGTCAAATTGTCCACCTCTTTTACAATAAAGCATACTTGCATACAATCTATGAAACATGTTGCATGGTTTTCAAATGATTGTCCATTCTTAGGATTGCTTCCTTTCATCCAACAGTCATTCTACCAGGGTGTAGAGGAGGGACAGAAGCAAAGCAAGGCCATTATCAGCCCTCCTGAGAGAGGCGTAAGGCATGACCACCTTACCAGCTCTCCTAATAGATTAGTAGTTTTGGTCTCTTCTTTTTAAGTTAGAAGGTTAAGGAAAGGTTAATAACATCTACCTGAATTTGCATCACTTCCATTACACGGCATGCAGACTTGGATTGGCTTTGCCATCACCTTTCCCTTTTGCGTTTGTGGTGCATCTTTTTAGATTGTAAGCCCAAGGCCAGAGATGGTCTTAGTTTGGTTTTATTGATCTGTAAGCTGCTCTTAGAGCCTTTCCTGCTTTAGACAGAGAGATGCAGTACAAATAAAATAATAAATAGGATTGCCAGCCTGTCGATATCTTAGGCTTCTGTGAGGTAATTGATTTGAATGGCTAGTGGACTCCAGATTGCACTGGATGCCATCTATAAATTTTTCAGGATCATAATCTTTGGGATTGAAGGAGTTGTGTTTCCGTCCTGATGTTCCCAGCAGACTTAGCCAGATATCGTCCCAAAAACAAACATTTCTGATGTCTGATCTCACTATTTTAACTGAGGGTTTGTTGTTGTTATGTGCCATCAAGTTGGAACTGACTTACAGAGACCCTGACGGGGCTTTCAAAGTAAATAAAGTGTTTAGAGAGTGGAGTTTCCATGGCCGAGTGGGGATTCAAACCCCAGTCTCCAGACTCCTTAGTCCATCAGTCTGTCCACTACATTGGTTCTCAAACTGAGGTCCCCAGATGTCTGGGACTTCAATACCCAGAAGGCTTCACCACTTGCTGTGCTGGCCAGGATTTCTGGGAGTTGCAGTCCAAGAACATCTGTGGACCCCAAGAACATCTGGGGACTATACCACAGTGGGTATCAATTAAGAGTTTACTTCCGGGTAAATAGATGGCATCCTTAGTACTGGAAAATCCCAATACCTGTGACAAACAAACAAAAAAAATTGATAACATTACGAAGAGTCCCTAGTTACCAATCAGGCAAGCTTTCCCTGAGTGACTAGCCATCTGAGTGGGGTTTTAAATGGATTGTTGTACCTTACCGCTTCAAATGTGTTTTGATGTTGTTTATGTTTTTTTTAGTATGCTATTTGTTTGATCCTTGTTTGTATTTGTACCCTCACCGTTGTTAGCTCTAAATGCTGTCGTTAATGACGTAGGCCGCCTTGGGTCCTTTTTAAGGAGAAAGGTGGGGTAGAAATATTTTAAATAAAATACATATTTAAATAGTCCCACCGTCAGGTTCCCCAGCAATTTTGCAATCACAAGTGGACGGAGTTTGGGCAAAATTATTTTAAGGCATGCACAAGGCAGCCTCCCGTCCTAGCCCGGCCACTAAGCATCTTAGCTGGGTCTCTGGGGCAGCTTATCCTAAAGCAAACTTTTATTTTGGTGTGTGATCAGAAGCGTGATAAGTACAGAGAGAGCAGGTCAGAAGGCTCATAAACATCTAAGTCACAGAGTGACGAGAAGAGTGCTCGTCCCCCAGTTAAAGCACAGTGCAAGGAAGCCAATTCTATGTTTACGGTTCTCCTCCTTGACTCCTCTCTGGCCATTCGTGTGACCTCAGACCTTCTCATTCCGTACCTTTTCCCGCACTCTGAGGAGTTGGATGAGGTGAGTTCTTCTCTCTTATTCTGCTCGCTGAGCGAGAGGTGCCGAGAGTGGAGTCCATGTCATGCCACAGCTACCACCACCTGGATGAAGAATCCCATTTTTCTCAATTTTTCCATCCTGCGCCTGAAAAATTAGTACACGGGCTACTTTAAAGCTACAGCATCCGGTCCTTGAGAAGCTAGATGCGATGTAATAAAAGGGACATTGGGAGACAGACTTATTTCCCATTATATACCATATTTTTCTGTGTATAAGACTATACTTTTGTCTAAAATCTTTAGACTAAAAGTTGAGGGTCGTCTTATATACAGGAGTAAGCTGAGGAGAGAACAAAAACAAATGGAGGGGAAAGCAGGGATCAAAGAGATCCTGCTGCACTTTGATTCCTTTCCCCCTACACTTGCTAAGCCCCACTTAGATTTCTTAATTTTGGATTAGAAAAGTGGGGGCGTCTTATACATGGGGGTGTCTGATACATGGAAAAATAAGTTAAATATATAAATATAGTTCTCCAGGTTGAAATTTCTTCCTCTATACAGTTATTAGAAATATAGGAGCACCCTTCTTCATTTAATGTGACCACCTAAATATCCTTTTCCAAGCTGTGAGTGAGGTTGGGGGTCTGGGTATTATCTCGTTCACACAAATACATTTAATCTTGAGGAAAAAGGGAATCCATTGTGCGGTGTGACTCTGAACTTGCTTTGTACAGCATTTGTACAAGAGAGGATGGAATAGGATTATTAACTGGTGCCACAAGAAATGCCCTTTCAATACTGTATAAGAAATGCAAGATGATTAAACAAATGTTACTGGTGATGCATCATCTCCATAGACTGGGTTGTCACTAAAGGGGCCCTGCTGGGTCCTGCATCTTCTTACCTGGCTCCAGGTAACACGCCTAGACCAGAATCTTGAGAAAGTTTGCAACCCGTTGCCCCTGGCAACCGGAGAACCAAGTCATCTTCTCCTCCAATCACTTTGCCTGTCTCTTCTGGTGACCTGAACGTGACCCAATCACAGAGGCTCTCTCTTCCAAAGGAGGAGCCAGGAAACAAACGTCAAACAGTAGAACCGTAGGAAACTTTGCTGCCAGCTTTTTGCTTAAGGTGGTAAACTTAGCAGCCCAGCTGTGTGGCATATTTGTAAAGGTGGCATTGGAAAACCTCATTATTGGGATTGATCAAAGTATTGAGATTTTGGTTTAATCATTTGAAGTGGAAGATTTAGACTCCTGTGGCAAACTATGCAGAATATGCCCTCTCCTGTTAGACTGAGTCTTTCTACTTGACGCATACTTTTAAAAACCCAACTATTTTTAAATACATAAATAAAAGATTTGTAGGCTCTTGCTGTTAAGGCATTATTTTACTATTTTCTGTTTTATCTATTTTATTTACCACTGGGTTTAGATATAAAAATGTAGTACTGTAGTATCATCTTGACTAGTTGTTACTACTTTTCAGAAGAAGTTAAATCCCATGGGATTCACGTCTCTCCAAAATCAAGTTCGCTCTTGATTCTCCAATGTTGTTTTACATTATTAAAGGGTTATCTAGGGTCACACCATGAATGATGTTCAGATTTTCCCCAATTATATTGCTGTCTTTAAGCATCTTGAGTATTAGTAGGGTCTTGGATTAGAAAAGGGCTTTGATTAGAGTTATCTACGTAAATTGACCTCATTGTTAATGGGTTATCATTGAGGAACCGCATAATAAAGATAAATCTCTACTTGTGGTTGATGAACATGCAAGGTCTGGTAAAGTCTAGTGCTGAGAAAATAGCTGTCAAGATGCCTCACTATTTAATTTACCAGCTGCCACATAAATGTCTCTTACGCTAAATTAAGAGCCGTTTATGCGGCAGCTGGTAAATTAAATAGTCAATTTTACTCCTTGTAAGCATCTTTAATGCCGTCAGTCTTGAGATACGCCACTTTGTAGGACTCTGGAGGGGAAAGGTAAAAAAAGACCTGATGTCACCTTTTCTGTGTTATGAACAGCTGGCTTGATGAGAACTACCATCTTCATAAGATCTCTCTCTCAAATGTTTCCCCAAAGCAGATGGCAGGCGACGGAGAAGTAACATTTCATTCAGATTCAAAAACCTGTACATCCGTGTAAACACGGCCAACAGTACGGATATGAAAACAAAACAAAACATGGAGTTCAAAAACATGCATTTGGCAAAAGCCATGAAATTAGGGCCCACGATTTAAAAATCAGGTTGACGTATCCATTTCAGCCCATTACCACACTTTGGGGCAATTTGGTGGCTTATCAATTTTCCAGGTAAAGGCTGTCACCGATTTCGTTGTGAGATACCAGTTTCTTATATTTAAATGCAGAGTTGTGAAAAGTGTGGGTCCAGAACGGGTGGCCGCTGCCGATGTCCTATGTCCTCAGTTTCTTTAAATAGGATTGGTTAAAACAAAGCACAAAAATATTTGAGCAATACCACGGTGTACATACATCCGATCTGATGCGCCAGTTTATCCCGCATTTACCAGTTATTTGCTCACAGAAGTAATGCACCTTTTGAGGTGGAGGCACCATTTATTGACCAGCTTCAAGAAATGTTCTTTTAGTCTTGATGAGACTGATTTAAATGTTGGTCTAGCCTAGTGGCTCTAGCCCAAAGGCAGGTCCATAGCTCATCCTCAAAAGCAATATTAAGGTCTTTCCCCCAAATTTCCCTAAGTCCATAAGATTTCCAAAGATCATGCCAAGCAGCAAAATATACCCCTTTGGTGACCGACCTCTTAGCCTCTGTTCAGGGTTTATAGCAGTTTTAATTCAACAAGACCATGTAGAGGTTGATCTCAGGCGGGAGAGATTGACATGAAGTGTGTCACCTACACACTTGCAACCACACACCCTCTAAGAATTCCCCACCCCCGTAAAATAAACAGCAATCCTGGTTTTACATTTCTTCCAGGCTGGTTAAAAATATTGGACCGATTAAAAATATTGACACCCATAAGTCTCCCTGCATTTGTCCAATAAAGTTCAAAAAAACATTCCAACCTCTAAACTACTTCCAAATGCCCACCACTAGGGGCCTCCCAACCCACCCAAGAAGCGGGCCGTGCTTGCCGCTGCTTCTCTATGCCCGGCTCTGCCACTTGGAGAGCATCCCCGAGCACACCACCAGCAAGGCGCCGCTCGCCTAGACCGTCCCTTTTCCTGCTCGAGGTTTCCGGGGCGTTGAATGGCAGCTGCCGGACCAAATCGGATGTGGTTTTTTTCCCGAGCCCTGCCGAGTCCCGCCTACCCGGCTCTTTAAGCTGGAAGGAGAAACATTCCGGGAGGTTTGGCGGAAATTTGGTTCTGCTTTTCGGTTGGAAAAGAGGAATTCCGGAGCGTCTCCCAGCGAAAGCCGGTGATTATGGGGGTGTAGGTTTGGGGAGGATGATGGGAGCACAAGTTTGGAACGGGACAGGCTGCGAAATCCGGATTCCTATAATATAGCCCAGTTCCCTTTATTAATCATTTTATTAGGATTTCCCTCTTAGATGTCCCTTTATAAGCAAAGTTGGTGAAAAAAGCAGCCTTCATTTTTTATTTTGGTATTTTGCAACGTTGCATGAAAGGAGAAATGGCCTTTTTTTTAAAAAAAAGTCTTCCAAAAAAAAAAAATTAAGAAAAGTGAATTTTGCAAAAATGACCGTTGTTCCTTCCTCCAACTTTAATTCACTTCCCCCCCCCTCAGAAATTTGCAAAATTAGAATGTTGATCTCAAAACTGTGGGGGTGGTTTGTTGTGATAAAAACACCCCTGTGGGTTGGGAGAGTAAAAAGATTGTCAGGATGATGGTTCTTCACTTTTAGGCAATTCTTGCTATTTCTGCCTGGTGTCCTTCTTGGGGGTTTGGTTTTAGCCAGCGTGGCTAAAGATCTGGAATGCTAGGAGTCGTCGTGGAAAACATCTGGAGAACATCAGGCCATGGGTAGAGGGGATCAGCTACAGTTCCCATCATCCCCAACAGCATGGGACTTAGACCGGGGCGATATATGAAAATATGAGGACCGTTTTGACTTTACCGGCTGCGGATCAAGGGGATGGTAGGGTGTCCTATGATTTGGAAGAGGCCAGGCCGGACACATCAGCTTTCCGTGATTCATAAATAAGAGAATAAGTGAGTTGGAAGGGACCTTTAAGGTCATCCAGTCCACCCCTCCTGCTCAGCTGAGTGCACTGTGTTGTGAGAAGAGGCTGGAGGAGATGTAACATGGAGCTAAAAAGTATACAGGAAGGACAGCAACTGAGTCAATGTGGCAAAGTGGACAAGAGTGTTAAATTCCTTTTAGGACATCTCACATACCTTGAAAGTAGTTAGGTGAGCAGAAGTTAGGTGTATCTTGATGGCACATCGCAACAAATTAAAGATCAGGATGTAGATGTATCGAAACACACCAAATTGTGGGTCCCAGCAGACTCGGAGTGCCCAGACTCTGAAGAAACGTACACAGAATCGAATTTGTGACGCAGACCACTAATTTGTGTTTGCCCTATTCCCCAGTGAAATAGATGCTATGAAAGGTAAGGCGAATCTTAAACTTTGGTGACTTATGTAGTACAGTAGTGCCCCGCATGATGACGAAAATGCATTCCGTTAAAATCGCTGTTAAGCGAAATTGTCGTCAAGCAGGGAAAAAAACCATTGGAATGCATTGAAAACTGGTCAGTGCATTCCAATGGGGGAAATACCTGATCGTCCAGCAGAGATCCTCCATAGGGCGGGCATTTTGGGATCCGTGTCTTGCGAACAATCGGTCCGGAAAACAGCGGGGAGCCAATTTGCGAACCACCGATCAGCTGTTTCTAATCGTCGTCTAGCAAAAAAACGGTTGCCAAAGCAGGGAACTATTCATCGCAAAGTGAAAAAAACCCCTATAGAAACATTGTTTTGCGATCGTTATAGCGATTGCAAAAAAGTCATGGCAAAGCGATTTCGTCGTCAAGTGCGGTCATCGTCAAGTGGGGCACCACTGTATACAGAACTGCATTTGTGTCTGGATAGGGTCTCAGGATTTAGATTTGTGTGTTTATCGACAACACAAGCGTTTTGGTGGTTGTGACTGGAGGCAAGGAGGAACCCGTACATTCCTCAAAGATTAGCCAGTGGCAGTGAGATACTATCGCAGGCTGTATTATATGAACTTGGATCAATGACTCACTCAGTTATTTGCATCATACTGATAATGAATGGCAGGATAAAATTCAGAATGGGATAGGTAGTAGCTAAAGAATGCCGATTCCATGTTTCCAGCAGGATAGTTCTCTTTGGTGAAAGTGTCTGCAGTGGCCTCAGTCACTGAGAATATTTTTTGCTTTGTTTTTTCAATAAGGCTCCAGTTCTTTTATCAAGATACTTCTGATGGTTCTGCTCATCCAGTTATAACTGTGTAGACAAGAAAAGTGAAGGGCGCACGTAGTGACCCTGATTCTCCCACTGCTGCCACTCGCACGTAAAGGTTGAAACTGAGCTTGGTGTCCTTGCACGGGGTCCCCGGGTGACTGTATCTAAACTACACAGCAGTCACAATTTTATGCTGCTTTAACCTCCACGGCCTCCATCCCCAGAAATCCTGGGAAATCTAGTTAGACTTCTCTGGTGTAGTTTGCAGAACTGCACTTTAAAAAAAAAAAATCAAACTTAGTGAAATCCTGATTTAAATTGATAAAACCGATGTTTTGATTTAAATGTTGAAAAAAATCAGATTTTTTAAATAAAAAACTTAAATTGGGATTTAAATCAATTTGATTTAAACCCAATCCATGCTGCTTGGAACTGTAGTTCCAATAAGGCCTAGAGAGGAACAAAGCGCCCTTCCCTAGACTGAGAAAACATCTTTATTCCCCCATTGACTCATTGGGATACCTGATCCCACTAGCCAGCATTCTAGCCGATGGGGACAGAAGTACGAAGATGATTGAGGAACGCTTGGCATTCGGTGTCTTTATTTTACTAAAACTGTGCCACCCAGAACATCCATGTGTACATACTCTGCTGCTTGTTTGAAGTTTTCCAGTTCCTAAATTGGCTCTGCCCCCGTACCGAGATGTGTCTTTGGCACCAGGATGCTTTGGCTCGCTCACAGCAACGTGCCTGGCAGTCAGGCTTGGTTTCGGAGTGTGGGTGGTAGACTCCATGGCATTCAAAACACTTGCTCTTGTGTATCAAGCACCATGCTTTCTGTGCAAGCGCCAGCGTGGCAGAGAGCAACACAGGGTCCTTCAGATACCTTCGCCCACTGTCTCTGCTGGCCATAAGAGAAAGCATTATGCCATCTCAAAGATGTAAGTGCTCTATTTTCATGTGAGTTTTCATGGACAAGTCCACTTCCGATATAAGAGTGGGACTACGTGGCTAATATTTCTACATAGCCCCCAAACAAAGAGACTGTTTGTTTCCTGGGTAAACGTTGTTGATGGTACAACATTTCACACTTGGCAATGACCTTTAAAAAGCTGGTTAAAATTGCAATACTGTACAGTGTTTCAGTATTTTATTTTTGTTTAAAACAACAACACACATTTCTGTGGTGCTCAAAAGAATATGTGTTTTCAACTTGCAGGGGTATAGATGGTGAGGAAGAAAAAGTCGCCTTCTCCAAGGAAGGCATTGTAGAACCTAAGGAATACGTGAAGTTTTGAAAACCTTGGAAGTGCTCTATAGAAACCATGCATATACAGTGGTGTCTCGCTTGACGAATTTCCCCACAGGAACAACTGTTTTGCGAATCGCTATAGCTATCACAAAAAGTCACCGTCCTGCGAATTTGTCATACAGTGGGGTCGTCGTCTAGCGAGGTACCACTATATGTCTCAAACACATCTTCCCAGCCTTACCCTCTCCCTTGTTTTCTCTTTCTGCTGCAGAAGGACAAATGGCCATGGACCATAACTCTGAGTTCCGCTGGTTTCTGGCTGTCTGGGTCGCTCCCTTTTAGCAAAATGGGGAGGAAGAGCAAGCTGGACCCCCTTGCTGCCCGGCGGGTTTAAAGTGCTGCTGCAGTTTAGCAGAGGAGGTGAACCAGCAACCCCGCTGGGAAGGGAATGCAAGAATAAGCCAAAATGGAAAGAGCAAATGGTCTTAGTTTGCAGCTCCAACCGCTTGCCACTGAAGCTGTGCCTCTGCCGGTCCACGAGGATTCCTTCTCTTACAAGGTAAGCTTTGTCTTGTTCCCCGGATGTGGGACAGAAGTAAAGAGAAGTTCCGCATATTTGTTTGGAAAGTGGAACAAGCCTGAATTGCTGGTGAATCTGGACTTACAATGGAATCCACTCACTCAGCTTCCCTTTTCCCCAAGGCTGTAAACTGCCCATCCTCAACTCCATTTGAGTGCAGTACAGTGGTGCCTCGCTTAGCGATGTTAATCGGTGCAGCAAAAATCGCTGCTAAGCGATTTTAAAAAGCCCACAGAAATGCTTTAAAACGCATTTAATGAGTTCCTACGGGCTTAAAAACTAACCTTATGCGAAAATCCTCCATTGCGGCGGCCATTTTCGGTGCCTCTAAAGTGAGGCAAAACAGCGGGTCGCCATTTTGGCCGAAAATGGGGGCTTTGAGATGATCGCTTCCCCGCAATCATCGCAAAGCGAATTTTCCCCATGGGGTCATCGCAAAGCGATCGCTCTTGCGATGGCAAAAAGTCCCATTGCAAAGCGATTTCATCGCTGTACGCAGCGATCGCTATGCGAGGCACCACTGTACTCTTGTTTTAGGAAGAAAACATTGTGTTGTTTTTTCTTGTGCATCCACCCTCCTCTTAACACCTTCCTGCAAGAAATACTGAAAAAAAGAGAAAGATGATATGCATGTATTTTGGTTGCATCTCACGCGTCTTCTGTTTAGACCGCAAGGCGGTTTGCAAAACCATGTTGCAATGGTTTCATAGGAAGGGGTCTTGAAAGAAAGCTGGCAGAGGAAAGCCAGGAGGGAAAGAGAGAGGCTGAGCAAAACGAAGAAAAGTCATTTATCTAGCTCTTCAGTCCTGCGATACGCTTCTGCGTGTGTGAGAGAGATTGTGATTTTATTGCACTTGTTTTGGCAATTCACCTCCACCTTTTGATCTTCACAACAGCACGGAAAGGCTGAGAGGGGTGGCCGAAGGCCAGCCCAATGAGCTGCGTGACGGAGTGGAAATTTGAACACTAGTCTTGAACCTTGATCTTCCTGTCCTTCGTGCTCTCATACCTCTGCCCTTCTGAATCAGTGGCTGAACCTGTCTTGCGTAGAAAGCATCTAAGCTTCAGCTGGGCTTTACTACAACCTCTAAAGTCCTCCATGCTGGCTGGGGGATTCTGGGAGTTGTAGTCCAAAAAGTAACATGCCCCAAGCTCCAGAGTATTTTGGATTTTTGCAACACAGAAGCCTTCATGGAGCAAGGTCAAGAGTTGCTATGGCTGGCTCCCAGGGTGTACAAAAAAAAAAGCCAATGCTTTTTTTAAAAAATCAAATTGATTTGAATTTTAAAACTGATTTTTTAAGTTTAAATATCAAACATCTGGATTTTTTTTTAAATTAAAATTCTGATTTAAATCAATTTTAAATCACAATTTAATTCACAGTTTTAAACCACAAGCCACAGTATAGCGGGCGGCTTGCCTAATAAAGACATATTTTTCCCTTTTGTTCAGAAGCTACTGCTTCTGCTTTGGCCTGAAAAATGAACAGCTTGGCTAAGAAACCAGCCGAACCTGTTAGACTCAAAATTTTGGGTGCTGGATTTGTGCTGAGTTGAAACGTCCTTGTTTTTCTCTGTTGACATTTCATTGAAGATACTGCTAGAACTCACTTCCCAGCCGACTTCAGAGGTGCACGCTCGTGCTGTTTTCTGAAACGTGAGGGGCTTCTGCAGGTTCCTTAAAAAATCTGGGGCGAATTCGTTCTCTTCCTTTTTACGAACAGACACACACACCCCTTCAATTCGTGTGGGGGCATTTACAGAAAGGAAGGGCAGTTGCATTGTAAGTCTCTTCTGACATAGTGGCCTTTTGCCAGTCAGGTGAGGTAGGGGATTTTTGAACAGTAGATTTCTCCTCTCTTAGGATTGCCTGGCTTTGTAAAAATAAATTAATAACGTTCGTTCTCTTCCTTTTTACGAACAGACACACACACCCCTTCAATTCGTGTGGGGGCATTTACAGAAAGGAAGGGCAGTTGCATTGTAAGTCTCTTCTGACATAGTGGCCTTTTGCCAGTCAGGTGAGGTAGGGGATTTTTGAACAGTAGATTTCTCCTCTCTTAGGATTGCCTGGCTTTGTAAAAATAAATTAATAACGTAGGTAAATTCAATTCTAGCTGGATCTGGTGGCACTAGATGGGCAGGGAGGGAGGGCTGGTCCGGGGAGGATGATCGATCGATCCCCTGGGATCTACAAGAGGTTGGTGGGACTCATTGAGATCCTGGAGGGAGGATGAACGTGGAGGCACGTCTAAGTTTTGGGAGGCCCATAGGGGGCCCTTGAACCCATCCCTGGTCCAGATGTTTGGCCCGTTGCCGCACTGCCGTGTTAACGGTAATAGTACGAGGAATAATTTCACATTGCAAGTGCTTCTGTCATATGTACCCCAGAAAGTTTAAACTTCCGGGTCCAAGCTGTCTTAAGGAGACTGCCCAGGCATTCAGATCATCCATGGAGGCCTTTCTCTTGGTCCCACCACCTTCTCAGGTGCGTCCAGTGAGCCTTTCTCTTGGTCCCACCACCTTCCCAGGGGCGTCGAGTGAGGACACGAGAGAGGGCATTCTCTATGGCTGCTCCCAGAGACTGTGGAACTCTGTCCCACTGGAGGCCCACCTGGCCCCATCTTGGCTGTCCTTCCCCAAGCAGGCAAAGACCTTTCTCTTCAGGCAGACTTTCCCTCAGTGAATGTCTAAGAGAGAGGCTTTGAAGCGGATTGTTACACCTTGTTGCTGTGAGTGTGTTTTCGGTATTGCTTTTGTTTGCCATTTTAGTGTGGTATTCGTTTGATTCTTCTTAAAAATGTGTGTATATATTGTTTAAAAGCTTTTTAATATTATCTTTTAATGCTATCAGTCACTTTGGGCCTTTTTTAAAGAAGAAAGATGGGCCAGAAATCTTTTAAATAAATAAAAGTGTGGTATTTTAGTGAGTATTTTAGTGTGGTATTCCTTTGATTCCTTTAAAAATGTGTGTATATATAATTTTAAAGCTTTTAATATTATCTTTTAATGCTATCAATCACTTTGGGCCTTTTTTTTAAGAAGAAAGGTGAGCCAAAAATCTTTTTAATAAATAAATATGTTTTTTTTCCCTATAGGAAAACCTGATTGGAGCGTTGCTGGCCATTTTTGGGCATCTTCTCATCAGCATTGCCCTCAACCTCCAGGTGAGGGAAAGCACAATAAATAAATAAAATTAGACCCACAGAAACCCGATGGCAATACAAGCCTTGGCCGAAACGCTGTTCTGACTCCTTGTTCCTCTTTCCTTTCTGCAGAAGTACAGCCATATCCGGCTGGCGGGTTGCAAAGACCACCGGGCCTTCTTCAAGACCAAGACTTGGTGGGGCGGCTTGTTCTTGCTGTTCCTGGGGGAGCTGGGCGTCTTCTCGGCCTATGCCTTTGCACCCCTTTCCCTGATCGTGCCACTGGGAGCGGTTTCAGTTATAGGTAAATCCCTTTGGATGAGGTGATTTATGTCCAGATACTTACACTAACCCGGACATATACATATAATTCCACCATGTCATTACCAGAACTGGCCATTAGAGAGAGCCTGAGACTCTGTAAAGTCCTTTCTATTACAATCATGTTCACTGTACAGTGGTTTTTTTTAAAGCATCACGTTTAAAATACGACAGGACCCCCTTATCCGCGGGATCAGTATCAGCTGATTTATTTATCCATTGTCTGAAAATATTAAACACATTAGAAGGAAAACCTTAGAAATACATTTTTCTACAATTGAAGTTATCAGAACGGGTTATTAGAGACAGCCAGAGACCACACTATGAATATGGTTTGCTAGAGAATTATATTTCTACCATGTGATTACCAAAACTGGCCACTAGAGGGAGCCAGAGAGCATGCTACCAATTATGGAGCGAAAAATACGGTAATTCCACAAGGTCATTACCAGAACTGGCCATGAGAGAGAGCCTGAGACTCTGTAAAGTCCTTTCTATTACAATCATGTTCACTGTCATCTGAGTTCCTCGCTATGCGAGGCACCACTGTAATCTGAGTTTTCAGTATCCATCGGGGTCTTGGTACCAATCCTGTGAATACAGGACTTCTACCGTACTTACTCCAACATTTTGTTGAAGGTCCCGTTTGTTAGTAGGAAATAATGAGAAAAAGATTACTGTGATGTTTATTAGCCAGGCCGAATCATATTTTGGAGAGAGCTAGTAGGGGACATTTAGTAGCATGCTGTTTTAACTGAGTGATTTGTGCTGGGTTGTTTTTTTTCAAATATATTGCTTTTTTGCCAGCTGCTTTGTGAGGGCTTGCATTACTGAAGGGAAGACAGAAATACATTCAATTGTGCTTAATTATTTCGTTCCTTGATTGTCCCAAAGCGAAGGTTCTCTGGGTAATGAACACTAAAACGATACAAAAGTTACGTTAATAATTTTAAGAAGCACGAACTAATGAATAAACACTGGGCCTGATTTTAGCCAGCTTTCTTCACGTATTGTCTTCTTTTTTTCCACTCAGCAAGCGCAATCATCGGCGTCATATTCATAAAGGAAAAGTGGAGACCCAAAGACTTCTTGAGTAAGTCCTCAGTTCATTTCTGAATATAATCCCAACTTGCTTTGCGCCTTCGGTTTGTTCTGCACGTATTGTACGAACCGTACCAAGAATTGGTTCCTGCCAGTCTCTGCTAGCACTTCTTCCCACTGTTCTTACAAATTGCTTTTTCTCCTCGGTTTCTCGGCTGCTAATTTGTTTGGCTCGACCTTTTGAGGTCAAGCCTAGTGTGTTTCATTATTTCAAAAAGGCCGAGCCCAAGACCATGAACAACACCTGGTTACAAAGAGTATTATTGTTCTGGCACCTTGAGAGTCTGCATTTAAAAAAATAATAATAATTAAAAGGACAGGCAGTGCTTCC